TTAAAAATTATAGAAATTTTCATTTCTATAAAAGAATTTAATATATAATGTGTAATTTATCCTATTTTTATTTATAAATTTTTAAAAACTATTAGGTACAATAATAACAATGACGCATATCGAATTATCCAACTTTGACGTACATATATATTTGATTTAGAGAAATATAATCTTGCTAAGATTTTGATATTATTTTCTGTTTTCTATAGAATTTCTATAGTTCTTTTTTTCTTGAATGTTTATGTGTTCAAATATTTAGTTTTTTTTATTGAAAGTCTTATTGATGTTGTGTACCATTGTATATATAATTCATCATTCATGTTGATTCGCATTTAATTTTGTTAGAAAGCTGTAATGATCATGCAAAACCATTTTTTTATTCTCCACCATGTCTTTCAAGAGTTTTATGTTATATTTTTATTCAGTTTTCATTGTTTTAATTGTTAAATCGGGTTGTTGTAGATTTTTTTAAATTTATAATTGATAATAGGTACCTTTTTATACATGTATTATTAATTGTTAATTTTTTTATTTAACATTTCAATTTTTAAACCATATTAACATTTTCTGATTTAATAAATATGTTGATTTGGATCAGTCATATTGAATTTACTTTTTTTGTTGAACATAATTTTTGTTTGATTTAAAAGCTGATGTTGACCAATTAAATCAAGTTTTTTCATCATAATCATACATAACATTTTTTCATTTAATGAATATACTGATGTAAACCAATCAGATCGAGTTTTTTAATCCCATGTGTACACCCTCAATGTACTATGCCATCAACTTTTATATATTATACTAGGCTTTTAACTCGCGCGAGTCTGTGTATTAATAATTTGGTTTAATTTTTTGGCTAATATCTTTTAAATTATCAAAACTATAATATATTTATAGAAATTTTGTTTTATATAAAAAAACTAAAACGTAATATGTAGTATATCCTATTTTTGTTTATAAAATTATAAATCTTATTAAGTAAAATCGTAGTAATGACACCTAACGAATTATCCAACTTCAATGTGCATATGTTTGATTTAGAAGATAATTTTCTTACTATATTTTTAGTGTTTTGTTTTGTATCCTTATGATTTATATGGTTCTTTTTAAAAAAGTTTATATGTTTAAATATTTAGTTTCTTTACTAAATGCCTCACTAATATTGTGTACATATACATATATAATATATGATATATATTGATTCAGATTTACTTTTGTTAGTAAGTTACACTAATCGTGTAAAGCTGCTTTTTGCTTCTCCACCAGATCTTCTACGAATTTAAGGTTATATCTCTATTCAGTTTATAAGATCTATTTTATTTGCTGTCAACTATTTGCTAATATTTGTTTTTAAACATGTGAGATGATGTTGAGACTTCACATTATCACTGTTTTTTTTAATATTTTATGTGTTTATTCATGTTTGGATTTGAATATTTTATCTTCATATATTCTCATTCTCATTTGATTCATAACTTTTACATATTATATTATTTAAATAAAATTTTAGAGGATGTTGCTCATATGTTTTTTATGTTGACTAAGTTATAAACAGTAAATATGTATACATATCAGACTTTATTACTTATTATATTTTGAATGTAAAGTTACTTGTGTAATATTTTACTTTGTTAATTTTCCAACCAGACACAATCAAAGTATTAATCTTTGTAAATTTAAATAATATGTTTAATTTAGAAACTTGTATAATATATTAAAACTTTATATGATTATTCATAGTCAACACCAATATTTTAGAAATCATGAATATTTTTGGAACTATATTTCAAACTAATTTGCTTCTTAGATCTTATTTTTGTTATTTTAAATATCTTCAATGGTAGTTTCATATTTTATTTTAATTATCTGATTTTCTGCAGGTTTGATATACTTAAAACATATATATTTTTAATTAATCTCTTTTGTTATTGATTTTTCAAATAGGTATAATATATATTAATCTACTATCTTTTACATAAATGCTTTTTCTTTGTTAAATTTCACTTTTAAAATTAATTAAAATGCTATTTTGACATGCTATAACTCGTTATTCTAAATTTTAAGTGAACTTCTCTCAAATGCTTATACCATCATTTATTTATTTTAGTCTATATTTATTTGATAGTTAGCCTAAATATCAAGTTAATTTTACTTTATACGACTTTTTCTTTTGATAATTTACCTCACTTGATATTCATTTTTATTTTATTTTATCACACCATCGTTTTAAAATATTGATATTTTGAAGACATAAAATTTTTGTTAGTTAAATATTTTTATATAAATTTTTTAAGTAGTTAGTCTGATATCAAGTCAAAATATTTTTAAGTGTTTTTTATTTAAAACTAATATTTTGTAAAACTTAATTTTTGTTTTAGTTTTTAGTTAATTAATTTCTTAATATCGATTTCTTAAATAATTAGCTTAAATATTTATATTATTTTTTGTTAGTTAAGTTTTTAGTATTATTTATGTTTTTTTATTCTTTTACTTATTCTGTTTATATTGATTTTGTTATATAAATAACATAGATATTAAGTTAATATCCTCTTTTTTTGTTAATTTAACTTTCTCGATATGGACTTTGATTTTAATTGCATTGACATGTTGTAAGAAATAATTTATGTTTTGGTTTTTGTTAGTTAAATATTTTTTTATATTGATTTCTTCAGTAATTAGCATAAAGTATCATTTTCTGGTTTGTTAAGATTTTTGTGTTAATTTCTTAAATATTTTCCCCAAAATTATAAGTTTTAGATGACTTTCTTTTTTGATAATTTAGGATGAATGATTTTTTTGGTAGTATTGATATTTTTAAATAACAATTTTATATGCTTATATGAAAATTTAATCGTAATATTTTTTCTAAATAATTACTCATTTCAAATATATATGCTAATTTTTTTTTTAATTTAATTTTTTCGTTATTGATTTACATCTTTGTTTTTGTTAGTTCAGTTTTTGTGACAATGAGTTTCCATTTTATTTTCACAATAGATTTAGACTTTTGACATATATTTATTTTATTTAGTTAAAAAAATTATCTTAATTTTCCATTCTATTGTGATAATTTTTTATTTTTGTATATTTTAATTTATTTAAATTAGTAATAATATTTTTTATATTTTATGTTTAATAAAAAACGGTGATATAAAATAATCAGATTGAGTATATATATCATATATGGACGCTCTCATTGGCTTAAGGCATCAACACATACCACAACTAATATATTTTAAGTTATGAGTTCATATTTTAATTTTTTGTCGTGATTAAAATTTTAAAATAATTTAATTATGGTTTCAAATATAGTTTTTAATAATTTTGTTTAATAATCAGATTGAGTATATATGTCCTATATGGACGCTCTCATTGGCCTAAGACATCAACACAGACCACAACTAATATATTTTAAGTTATCAGTTCAGATTTTAATTGTCTGTCATGATTTAAATTTTAAAATAATTTAATTATAGTTTTAAATACAGTTTTTAATAATTTTGTTCAATATATATGCTTTTTCTTTTATAATCTATTTATATGTTAATTTACCTTTTTACTGTTAATAGAAAAATAAGATCTATTTTCAAAACTCTTTTTTTATTAATAACTAACTTAAAATTTAGAAACTTTCCTAATAACAACAAAAACAAAATTAGTTAAAATTTAGAAATTTTCCTTATAACAATTAAAACGAATTAATTAATTTTAATATACAATATATAATTAAAAAAAAATAATGATGATGTGTACTAATAGAATTGAATCTTTCAATCTTATGTGGACACCCTTAGAGGCATTTGGCATCAACTTTTATTAGTAATAGATGAGTTTACGTCAAAGTTTGATGAGTTTTCTTTACGTTTTAACTCTTGACTCTCGTGAATGTAATAGAGCCGTGTATAAAATAAGTTCATCAAACCACTTTTTAATTTGTGCCACATTTTAAGCTCTTGTATTCCGATTTAGTTGTTGGCAAAAAAAAAAGTATTCTGATTTAGTTACAATCCATTATAAAAATCGATTTATTTGAAAAAACAAAAAAAAAAACAATTTTCTTGGATCCTCCTCACGGTACATTATAAAAAGAGAAAATTACATTTTAAGGCACTTTTAGAAATATGAATTACAAATTAAGGCACTTAGAAAAGAAGAGGCACTTTCATCAAGCGAAATGACCATTTTATTCTTTTTATACAAAATCAAATGTCCAGAACCGTTAGACTACGTGGATGAATTTTTGTGGATAACCATAATACATCATAATCAATCTTCGTGGATGAATTTTCGTAGATGACTTAAAACGTTCACTAGACTGGTTTGAGATATTTACGGTTTACCATTTGATTTATACGGTTTAAACCATATATGACCCTTCATGGACAACTAAATATATATTGTTTAAATTTATCTATCCATTTTGCATGTTTTTCGTTGATGAACCTTCACGGACATCTAAATATGATTTTGTATATCTATTTTGCACATCTTTGTTGAATGAACTCTGTGAAACTTGTATATTTTAACAAATGACTAAAATATTTCGACCACGTAGATGAATATATGTGGACAATTTCATATGTTCACTAGACTAGTTTGAGATCAATGAAGCTCATGCTCACATAGATGACCCTTCATGGACAGCTAAACATGTATTGTTTGAATTTGTCTATCCATATTGCATGTCTTTCGTGGATGAACCTTCGTAGACAGCTAAATATGATTTTGTATATCCATTTCGCATATCTTTTTGTGGATGAACTCTGTGAAACTTATATACTATAATAAATGGCTAAAATATGCCGATACGTGGATGAACATATGTGGACAACTATAAGTAAAAAGAAAGAGCAAAATCAGATTAACATATTATGAACAGTGGCTAAAGAGCCTCTTCCCCACAAAGTATCTTTTTGTAACCAAAACTCATAAAGTGCCTTTTTATGTAAAAAGAGAAAAGTTAAGATGGGCCAAATAAGGCCCATTTTTGAGTAACCCGACTCAACTCGTTCACACTCCGAGTCAATGACTCAGTATCCTCTTCTAACGAATTTCTTCTGATTGATCTCAATGAAATTAAGGCCACGACGAACCGCGAATGGACGCGATCAAACCACTTCCTCAGGTCTCGAGCTTCTCCGCTTCGCTCTTTAGCTTCCTCGATGACAGGTTCAGAGACGCCGCGGATCTCTCCCAGTCCCCGGGCTTGGTTTCCGAGTTACTGGCTGAGATTTCCGAATTGGATCAGAGATTGGCCGGGCTGAATCGCCAGCTCGAGTCCGGTCTTGCCGCTTACGCTTCGTTTTCGGATCGCGCCGGCGGTCTATTTGTCGGAGTTAATGCCAAGCTGGCTGATCTCTCTTCTTCTACCTGCGTTCCCCGCTCCGCCTCAGGTTCGTCTGAGTTTATATGGAAACAGCGAAACGCAGACTGTAATCGTGAAATGTTGTAGTCAAAGATGAAATTTGGTTTCTGGTTGTGGGAGATTGTTGCAATGCTGCCAAAATTGTGGCGTTTTTAATACAATTCCGCTCAAATTTTGGAGAATTCTCATCTGTCTTGTTCGTTCAGATGGCGGAAAGGAGGAGGAGACGACGGATCATGTAGCTGGGGAAGAGCTTCCATCACTGGCAAAGGAGGTAGCACAAGTTGAGTCTGTGCGGGCTTATGCTGGTAAGCTTGCTTCAATTTGGTGTTAGGGCGAATAGTTTCTGATAAACAATAGCCTTAATGTTATGGTTTGGTGTTTTTGGTGTGTTGATTGAGATTTAGATAGTCAAATGACTATTACCTAAATTTGTAGTTTTCCTAATCTTTCTTCTTAGATTAGTCATTGTAGTGTTTATTCATTGTTCTCCTTTTAGTTACTTTCGTCCCATCAAGATGTTTCTTTCTCTGTGTTTCAGAGACTGCACTAAAGCTTGACACTTTAGTGGGTGATATCGAGGATGCTGTGATGTCTTCTTTGAACAAAAACTTGATATCATCTCGGTCAAGCAGTTTTGAAGTAAGCGCACTGTCTTCAGCTTAGAGTCTGCTACATATAACCATCTGTACATCAAAATGTTCTAAAATTTCACTGACCTCAGGAAGTGCGTCTACATGCTATCACAACGCTTAAAAAGACGGAAGAGATACTGAGTTTAGTGGCAAGGAAGCATCCTCGGTGGGCACGTCTTGTTTCTGCAGTTGATCACAGAGTAGATAGAGCTTTAGCGATGCTGAGACCTCAAGCGATAGCTGACTACAGAACGTTGCTTACTTCTCTTGGATGGCCACCTCAGCTTTCTACCCTAACTTCACCAAGCCTTGATTCAAAGTCAGACAATGTCGAAAATCCGCTTTTTAACATGGAAGGGAACCTCAAGAGTCAATACTGTGGATATTTCCATGCACTGTGTAGCCTCCAAGGGTTGCAGCTGCAAAGAAAGTCGCGGCAGCTTGGGAGCCATAAGGGAGAAAATGTTCTTTTCCACCAGCCACTCTGGGCTATCGAAGAGCTGGTCAACCCTCTAACAGTTGCATCTCAGCGACATTTTACAAAGTGGAGCGAAAAGCCTGAATTCATTTTCGCCCTTGTGTATAAAATCACAAGGGACTATGTAGATTCTATGGATGAATTGTTACAGCCGCTTGTTGATAAAGCAAAACTAGCTGGTTACAGTTGCCGAGAAGAGTGGGTTTCGGCTATGGTAAGCTCGTTGTCTTTGTACTTGGTGAAAGAGATATTCCCTATATATGTTACTCAGCTAAACGAAGTGAACGAGACTGATAGTCCTGCTGAGGCCAAGGTTTCGTGGCTCTATCTCATTGACCTGATGATCTCTTTTGACAAGCGAGTTCAGTCTCTGGTATCGCAATCAGGAATACTTTCGCTTCAAGAAGACGGGAACCTCTTGAGGATTTCCTCTCTCTCAGTTTTCTGTGACAGACCTGATTGGCTCGATTTATGGGCAGAGATAGAGCTAGAGGAGAGGCTCGTCAAACTCAAGGCGGATATAGATAAGGAGAGAAACTGGACAGTGAAGGTCCAAGACGAACTCATCTCAACTTCCAACGTTTACAGACCACCGATTGTTTCCAGCAACTTTCTGCAGCACTTGTCATCAATAATCGAACGATCCAAGTCAGTGCCGGCCGTTTATCTGAGGGCAAGGTTCCTGAGATTGGCAGCGTCACCAACAATCCAGAAGTTCTTGGATGGCCTCCTTCTCAGGTGCCAAGAAGCAGAAGGACTAACTGCTTTAACCGAAAACAACGATCTAATCAAGGTCTCAAACTCTATCAACGCTGGTCACTACATCGAATCAGTCTTGGAAGAATGGTGCGAGGACGTCTTTTTCCTCGAAATGGGAACCGGACAGGACGATCAACAGGAAGTTACAAGACTGGATAACTTCACAGAGCCTCGTGAAGGTATTTTCGGAGAAGAGTTTGAGAAGCTGGAGAAGTTTCGGCTGGAGTGGATAAACAAGCTGTCCGTGGTGGTCTTGAGAGGCTTCGATGCTCGAACCCGAGAGTACATGAAAAACAGAAAGCAATGGCAGGAGAAGAGAGACGACAAAGAGTGGACTGTGTCGAGGTCACTAGTTGGTGCTCTAGACTACTTGCAAGGGAAAACGTCGGTAATAGAGGAAAATCTAAACAAAGCAGACTTCACAGCTATGTGGAGGAGTCTAGCCTCGGAGATAGACAAGCTGTTCTTCAACAGCGTATTGATGGCGAATGTGAAGTTCTCTGATGATGGAGTCGAAAGGTTTAAACAAGACATGGAGGTTCTGTATGGGGTTTTCAGGGCGTGGTGCGTTAGGCCCGAGGGTTTCTTCCCTAAACTAAGCGAAGGGATTACGCTGCTGAGGATGAAAGAGAAGCAAGTGAAGGATGGTGTGAGCAGAGGCGAGAAGTGGTTACGTGAGAATGGAGTTCGATATTTGAGTGAAGCCGAAGCTAAGAAGATAGCTGAGAGTAGAGTGTTCTCTTAGCTTCTGACTAGGAAAGGTACATTTCATTTATTTGTGGATTATAAAACTCAAGTCTGAATGTTTTAAAATGAATTAATATGTTCAAGGCCATCTATCTCGAGATCTCCTGCTATATACACAACTACGTACGTCCCATTCTCACGAGCAGGCGCCTAAAAGAATAGCTTTAGGGTATCGGCAATATAGACACATGGAGGAAGAAGGCAGTCTAGTACGAGAAGATGGCCCAAAAACCGCCGGAAAACCATCACCGGGAACATCGGTTCTCACTCCTGCCGTCTTTACTTCAAGAGTTTGATAAGAAAGGACACTACAAGGTTATTGGCAGGATTTGGGGTTGACATTTACAAAGATGTTGGGGTTGTAAAATGTAAATTGCAAAAAGAATAATCTCTTGTCGCAGATGAAAGGATTACTTGACTTGCAACGGAAGCAATAGATTCTGAAATCAGCATACGTAACAAGACTTGCCCTATCAATCAACACCTCTCTCTCTATCGACATCGTCATCTGAAACCTCCTCTCCGTCAACACCTCTCTCGCTATCGCAACCCGAGTCCCCAATCTCCGCCACCACAAAATAACTCCAACGCCCCAACACAAAGTCAGGCCCAATCAAGCCCAACCTAAAACTAAACCCAATCAAACTCAAACTTCATTCGTACCACAAACCAGCCCATTACAAAACAAAACCAGAAAACCAAATATAACCAAACCCAATCAAATCCCATCCCAATTCCTACCATAAACCAGAAAACCACAAATACTCAAACCTAATCCCAAATATGCCAAAATCGCCACAAAATCAAAATTTACAGAGATCGAACCTCGCACAATAGCCATGGGGATTCTGTCGTGGTTCACAGGTAGTCCTAAGCCTTCGCAGTCCGTGACGTCGAAGACGGAGATAATACAGACGGAGAAATCGGCTCCGGGAATGAACGGAGCCATAGAAGTTCCTCGGCCCGATCGCGCGACGGTTTTCGAGTTCGGCTCTGTGGCGGCCACCGGAGATAGAGTCACTCTCGCTGGATACTGCCCTGTTTCCGACGATCTCGAACCTTGCCGCTGGGAGATTCTCCCCGCTGGCGGAAAAGACGCTCCCCAGTTTCGAGTCGTCTTTTGAAGACTATCTATAAACAATCAACACAAATCATTTTCGTATTTCCAGGTTGTATTCTCCCGGTTTAGTTAACTGGTTTTTTTCTTATAATCATGTATTGCCGTATTGGATCCAATGAAAGAGATGATTTGTATTGACTCTGTACGGATACATTTATACAACAAGTCGATGAATGATAAATGGAAAGAACCATATATGTATTTACAGAGAGTTATATGATTGCTTGAATCACGAAGTATCTCTAATACCATGTGGGAACGAAGGATCGAAGAGGGCTCAATTCCTGTTGCGGACAGGGTCTACCGTCTGTCCGAATCCACGGTGCTCGGCTCTAATGTGGAGAACCGAGCTATCTGGATCGAATGAATTAGAAAACTGGAGTAGTTAGGAGATGCTGCTTTAGATGCGGTGAACCTTTCTGCATTGATTGCAAAGTTTCGTGGCATATTAACTTGTTGTGGAGCTCTTACAACAAGTTGCAGCCAAATCCTACGGAAAGCTAAAAGCTATAGCAAACAAAAAAGTGTGGCAATCGTCTTGAGAGGCTTCGATGCTCGAACCCGAGAGTACATGAAAAACAGAAAGCAATGGCAGGAGAAGAGAGACGACAAAGAGTGGACTGTGTCGAGGAAAATGTCGGTAATAGAGGGAAATCTAAACAAAGCAGACTTCACAGCTATGTGGAGGAGTCTAGCCTCGGAGATAGGCAGGTTGTTCTTCAACAGCGTATTGATGTCGAGTGTGAAGTTCTCTGATGATGGAGTCGAAACTCGAAAGGTTTAAACAAGACATGGAGGTTCTGTATGGGGTTTTCAGGGCGTGGTGCGTCAGGCCCGAAGGTGAGAAACAAGGTTTACAACCTTGATCAGCATTCATAATTAATTAATTAATTTAGACAAAAAAAAATTATATCATTTTTTAAATGATGTTAACCAAAATTATTAAAAAAAGAACCACATACAAAAAAATGCTTCTCTCCCGACTAAGAGATGAGAGGGGCGATTTAGGAGTTAGGTCTCAGATGTACTTCGATCGAAGGAAAATTGGGGATTTCATTGGTTTCTCTGGTTCAATTTTGTGGTTTCTTGTTATAAATCTACAACCGGGTGGTGGTGATTTATGGTTTCCCGTGGGCTGTGCTCGGTGGAGGTTTTGGGATGGCTGGAGCAAGGGTTTCGGGAGAAAGCTCTTCAATGGCGAAGCGTAGCATCGTTGGGTTGATGCCTTTGAGGAGGGGGTGGTGAAATGGGATTCATGGGCCAGACATGCGAAGAGCTGGGTGCGTACGATTCAAGGAGACGAGTGGATTGATTTGGGGACTGCGAGGGGCTTGATTGACTCGGTGTCAAAGGGGCTGTTCCGCTTGGACAATAACGGAGATAATCATGATGGATCTTATATACAGCGACGATGATGCGTGGATCCAATAGAGTTAATTGGATACGACGCCAGTCAATGGAAACAAAGGAGAAGGGGAGTCTCCACCGGCTTATTTCGCTGGTTTACACAGTTGCGGTCTACGGGGCGACAGATGTGCTGATGAAACCGAAATGGCAAAGACGGAGTTTTTCGAGGTTTCATGAAGAGTTTGGACATTCGGCGGAATGGTGATGGGGTATTTCTTACTCTTTTTCTCCTCCTTTGCAATCACTGGATTTCATATCAGAATATATTAGGTCCGATCTGGTGGATACGTTTAGATATCTGATAGGTGCTAACTTAAAGTCACGAATATGCTTACTCTCGTTTAGGATGATAAAGGAATGTCTTGGCTGGTGTTGGTCATTAGTTACCATAAGTGTTTTTCAGAGATTTGGGGACATTACCGGCTGGAATGTAATTTAGGAGACTCGAAATTGTGTGCAGGAGAATTTGAATAATTTATTCTCTGTATTATTGCGGGTTCTCCAGAGTTATCTATGGCAATGGATTCATGATTTGGCTCGGCTTGATTATAGTGATTTCCGGGATCAAGGGGATATGATTGGTATTTTTCAGGATTGTGTTATGGATTGTATTAGTGAGTATAAGGGGAATATGGGATGTATAAATAGTGATGCCATTTGCACTCATATCACATATCTCATTGTTCATCAATCAAATTCACTCTCTAAAAGGTTTAATTATCTTTTCTTTTCGGTTTCGGTTTCCATCATGTCATACTCAGGGGTATTCGGTTCTGGAAGTGGGAGCAACAAAGGGAATGCAACGCTTGCACCAAAGCTGAAGATTACAGTTCCAAAATTTGATAACATTGGAGACTATTCCCAGACCTTTATTGGAAGGTGCATGAACCCGGCAATTCAGGACATGTAATCAATTCTTTTTCTCTAGTGATATTAGAGCAAATCTCAATTCTATATTGGAATTACTCCATTTTGGAGTGAAAATGAAAATATATATTGAAAATGGTCTAACTCTGCTAAAAGATCTGTCTTTTTGTGAGTTTTTATCCTCTCTTTTTTATTGACCTAGTTTTCATTAATCTATATCCTCGATGAATTATTCTTCAAGATGAGTACCAGATCCTCTCTTGTTACCTCGCGTCACAAAATTCATCGTACAATTTCTCTTTATGATTTGTCCTTGGATGATAGTTGTAGAACAATAAGTCTTTTTTACGTAGACCTTACTACAGTAAATAAGCCATCAGTCTTTGCTTGGCACCCAAGTTACGAAAGATATTTGGTTTCACCCATAGGTACAAAAAAAATTCGTCTAATTATTAAGATTGGACTGTATACAATGCACTTGTGGTCTCTCGGATGAAGCTAATAGTTGATGAAAGTATCTCTACCTCCATGTTTTATATCCATGATTCTCACGAACATGGCCCTGTAACAGGATAAACCGGTTATAAACCCGGTTTAGTTATCTAACTTCTTTTATTGCTAATTTATCTAGCTCATTTATGTAAACCGGTTTGTTTAAACCATTAACAACGCTTTATGTAGGCTTAGGCCAGTTTACAAAGAATCAATCAGATAATCTTTTCTCTTTTCGTCATCTTCTCTCTCTAAATTCACATCATCAGCTTTATTCATCATTATCTACGGATCCAGATTTTTTAGAGATGATCTTTCTCTTTCTTTGATTATCTCCTAATGCTGTGATTCTCCATTCTTAGAGCTCACAGAGAGTTTTTAGTTTGGGATTATATCTCATAAGATTTCATCTGTCTTAAGTCCTGTTTGTTTGTCTGACGCAGACATCACAACCAGACGCTGCGGCCAACGTTTAATTTTTTTGGATGGTGATGAAATTCGGTGATGCATTACAAACAATTGCGATCAAACCTGTAAAAGACAAAAATACCCTTGTTAATTCTTGAAAATTATCGAACAGGGCCTTAAGCCTTTTTGTCTACAAGTCACCAACTCTTTGAAACGTTAAACATGAACATACTACGGTAAACTTATGCAATTGTGGAGAAGTTTGGCCGATTACCAAAAGGATAAAATGATGGAAGAAATTCGAAATAAACGTGAGGAACATAATCTTCACCAATTTTTCATGGTCCTCGAAAGATGAATTGCGTGGAGTATAAGATAGCAGGTCTAGTTTTATGTCACTTTCAATATAAATCAACTAGTCCGCATAATTATACTAAGTCTACTTAAAAGAAAAATATTTTGGATTGAAATGACAACTTACTTTGAAATTGTATTTGATTCTTATCTGATGCGTGTTCGGATTTAGTCTAGGTGACGAATTGGAGAAAAATGAAGGCCCTATCAAAACTTTACCATATATAAGTACACAGAATCCAAATCAATAACTATCCATCGCTTCTCATAAAACACATTTTCAACTTTAAAAAAAAAACAACCAAATGAGAAACAAGAGGATTTTCTTCTTTTACTGCGTGGAACTCAGCAGAGGACAACAGAACAACGACAGAACTGAAGTCAATGTGGGTGTTGTAACAGATGTCGGGACTTCATACTCAGAGGTTTCTATGCTCTGCATTAACATGTCTCTATCAGATTTTTATTCTTCTCGTCCCCAATTGCAGACAAGACTTGTCGTCAGCATCGGTGACTCCAGAAATGACGTTGTTGAGGTTTCTTTTTATAAAATATTTTTAGACCTTAGCAAAAACTGGTTTATATTAAATTTTTATTCAAAAAATTAACTTATATTATTAAATCCAAAACTGCGGCACAAACTGAAATTTTTTTATTAGATTATATAAAATATTTTTTACATTCTTGGTTTTATGTTACTAAATTTATTTAGGCTTGATTTAAAAAAAATTTGATTAACGTATTTTCTGTTAAGTTTTGTAACAAATATTTTAAAATATTATGATTTATAAAGAAAGAGAGATTTCATTTGTTTGTAATTAAGATTTCAATATTTACTTAGGCTTTGTTTGTTTTTCCATCCTGATACTTATTTGGATGCAAATGTTCAAATATTTTTTTTTTTAAAAAAATTTAAGTCAGTATATGGATGTTGTATCTGGATACAAAATCTACAATATCTTAAAATTTGTATATTTAAGATACTAAAAAATAGAGTTGAGATACAGCATTTGAATCTCAAATACTAAAAGACTAAAACACATTTTAATTTAAATCACAAAATCAAGTTTTGTTTTATCAAAACCATAAAATCAGAGTTTTCTATCAAAATAAAAAACTTTATTTTCCCGCAAATCGTAAAATCACGTTGTTGTACCAAAATCATGAATTCCCAGAGAAACTGTAAAAATAGTATTTTCCATCAAACCGTATTTTCCTGCCACCCCCAAATGTTTTCCTATAATTCCTCTAAATCTGCAAAATCGTGATTACGACCAAATTTCTAAAATGATGTGTTTCTGTTAAATCTACAAACACATTTCTTGTAAAACTGACATTTTCTTGTAAAAATATGTTTTCCGCTAAAACTTATAAAATCCACTAGAACTTGAAAAACTTGTAAAATCTACAAAATTGTGTTTGTCAAATTCCCAAACCTATATATGATTTCCTGCAAAAAATCATTAACAAACCAAGAAAAAAAATTATTTACATAATATTTTTTCATAGTATGTATATATGTGACCAGGAAATAATGATTACATACTCATTATTGACTGTAAATTGTCACATTTAGTAAATATCATAGTAGCTTTTAGATATATTAAATTAGTTATTTTCTTATAATATTATAGACAAAAAATGATTATAATATAATATATATAATTGTATTAGTTATTTATGCCATATATATGTTGTAATTATGTTAA